GGTCATTAGAAGAGTTGACGTTACTGCAGCTGCAGCGCTGACTCGCTCTGCCGTATTTTTTTTTCTTCCCGCGTTTCAATCAAGTGGCAGTGACGACGGGGGCGGATGACGCATTAATTGCGCGACACAACTAATCGATGATGAAATTCGTTGCCAACGCTTTTAAAAGTCGATTTTTATCGTTTCGTTGTTGCAGCCCTAAAGGCAAGGGCTCAAACATGTATGGCTGGAAGCCTTCTACACCAAACCAAGCTTCTGCCGCCCTGGCGTCCTCTTCCAAAACATCTTCGTCCCGCTTTCCTCCTCTAAATAAAAAATGGATGACGGAGGAGACTCATCCACGACCTCCGACACTAAACTCTCCTCCTCTTGCATGTTTCCGCTGTCCATAGCGTTCCTTGACAGTTTCGTTTCTAAGTCACCAATTTAGTGCTACTTGTTCCCAATGGAATTTCCCATTGGGAGCCTACTAGCTCTAAGTTGCTAACTGGTTAGCAAGATGCTTCCGAGACACCGGCCACAACCCAACTTGCTTGCAGACTTTCTGCCACAACAATCCCGTCCCCTTCATAAAAGACCATTTTCACTTTATTCAGTCGTGTAAAGTCGTGCACCACTCAGGAGAATTTGGAAATGCAACGGTTGGAACGCCGCTTCCCTACGACTTTAAACATTTAGATTTACCTTAAATCGGATTATACACGATATATTGCATTCAGCTGCCATTCCTCAAGTTCACATGAAGTGCATGTGTCTCCACTCCCTCCATTTGCTATCTAATGTTAATGTTCCTTTTTGTTTAAACTGAAACCTAAATAGCATTTTTTCATTTTATAATTTAAGTGATGTTAGTGGAGGAAGAAAATGCAACATCGTCCTGAAGAATCCCCCAAAATTAGCCGACTTTACTGACTTTACATAGCTTGAAGAGACCTGACTCCAGCTGCAGACTGAGGGGGGGGAGATTTAAAGCCTGTTACTGTGGGTTAAAGACCAGCTCTAAAGAAGAATCTTCATGGGAACCTTCAGGGATGACAGATTCACACTCCTCCTCTACAGAGCTGAGCTCTCATCGGTAACCTTAACAACGGACTGCAGTGATTGTGTTTTTGTTTCTACCCGCAGGTAGAGAAAGAGCTGAAGTCGATCTGCAACGACATTCTGGACGTTCTGGACAAACACCTCATCTTAGCCGCAACCACAGGAGAATCCAAGGTTTTCTACTACAAAATGTACGGATCCAGGGAATGCATATTAACACTAACTTTAATTTAACTTTATTTTTAATGAAAGTTTCCTCAGTTAGATTCAGTCTCCTGGTTTCTCCAAGTCTCCCACTCAGCATGTGTCGATGCTCTTCCTGTCTAGGAAGGGAGATTACCACAGGTACCTGGCAGAATTTGCCACAGGCAACGACAGGAAGGAGGCGGCAGAGAACAGTTTGGTAGCTTACAAAGCTGCAAGCGACATCGCCATGATCGAACTCCCTCCGACGCACCCCATTCGTCTGGGTCTGGCCCTAAACTTCTCAGTTTTCTATTATGAAATCCTCAACTCGCCAGACCGGGCATGCAGGTACAGCTCCACGGGGGTTAGCTGGAGTTTAAGGTTAACATGACAGAAGAAAGAGGTGATTTAGATTGTAGATTATCCTCATGAGGGGGGGATGTCTTTTGTCTCTATTTGATGTCTAAGAAAATTATCTTCAGGGTTAGAGGTAGGTGGGTATTATAGTGTCCATGACGGTTTAAAATGTTGGGTTTCAGACTGAAATCGGCATCTTTGATCCATTTTCTCTTAATGTAATCATTTCTGCTGCATTACTTCTATCTCCTTTGTGTCCCCCTGACTTTGGCAGGTTGGCGAAGGAAGCATTTGACAACGCTATTGCAGAACTGGACACTCTGAGTGAGGAAAGCTATAAAGACTCAACACTTATCATGCAGCTGCTACGTGACAACTTGACGCTATGGACCTCAGACGTTCAAGGAGAAGGTGAGACGCCCGTTTGTGTGATAAGACCCCGTTCTGCTGCACATCTACCATCAGTTCAGCCTTTTTTATTCCAACTACATCTGAGTGGTCGCTACCATCTTGTTCTCGCCGCATCGTTTCTAAATTCTCTGACTGTAACCATAAAAAGTTTAGCCAGAAACTTGAATTCTCCTTCCCGTTTTTCAGTCTGTCTCCTCTAACTCTCATCTCACCCTCATCAGATTAAGGACCTTCTTCTTCTGTCCCTCTTCTCCGTTATAACCATGTATTTAGTAAGTCATCCCTCCTTTCTTTGGGCTGCTCCATATATGCCACTAACCACCCTAACAGCTCTGCCAGCACCTTCCTCACAGCATCCAATCCTGTGATGCCTCCCTGCCACTCTACCTCCAGGATACCATGGATGACGTCATGTCGGTGTGGGAAATTGTCATGAAAACTGTAGGACTAGTTACGCTCGACTATGAAGGCTAAAATATACGTTTTTGTTTTGTTTCTCATCCTTACTCTTATATTGAACTGATTATTTCTCATTTGACATTATAATGTATTGCCAAGCGGCACATCTTTGGCCTTTCTTTATAAATCCTTATCTCTCTTTAGTTAAAATGGCTCATTAATTTGAGATTTCTTTTCTATTTCTGATTTGGGGAATATCCCATGGAGGTCCCATAAACTCTTTTTTTTTTTCTCCTCCACCCAGTCGGAGGTTCTAACCAGCACCTTTTAAAAGCTTTTGTTTAAACCATGATGGATTCCAGCCTTTTGTTATCCAAGCCCCTATAAAAGATCTTCATTACACTGGTAGTTGTACTGTCTCCGCGGCAACCACTTGCTCTGTTTCACAATGCATTTTACCTCCTTACTAAATCTACCCCCCCACACCTTCCCCCTCTGCATGGTGTCACACTGTCAGCTGTGGCCGCACCACTCTGTTTGCAACAGCTTGACTTCAATCAAGAATCTTCATCCTGAAGCAGAAAATAATGCAGAAATTGTGTGTATTTCTATGGTTGCCAACACCATAGTGCATGTTGACATTAGATAGAGCACCCATGTATTTATATATCTTCTACTATTGACTCTGACGGTCTGCAGTGATAGCTGTGGCGGATGGTTTGTTTTGATTTTTATTCTAATGCCAACCCTGATAATGAACTTAAAACACACAGCTAATGCATACTGAGCCCAGATCTTCTCGTCATACATGACACTCCATCTGGTAATAAAAGAATAATTAGCTTGTGTTTTTTTTATTATTATTATTTAAACAGTCTGATGGAGCCAAGATGATTGTTATAGAACAGCTATTGTCTGAAAGGTTTTAGAAGTTTAATTAAACCTTAAACCTGCCATGCTATTTATCTATTAGCTTACATTGAAGTCTACATCTATAAACAACAAAGTCATTGGTAGGTTCTTGTCCCTTATGATTTATTCGAAATGGCTTCAGATACTTGGAATATGTAGTTAAGGATGGGGAAAGTTTTTTAGCTTCTGGCTGGGGACCATTTTGCAATCCAGCAAACAAACTATTTGGAGAAATCAAGAAAGGCTAGGCTTTCACATTTCAGTTTTTGCAAAAGGGAAAATGCTTTTTCAGTGACCTATCAACCACAGTAGGATATTAATTTATTGCTTAGACGGAGGAAGAGCCTCTTTGTTCTGTTTTATTTCCTTGGTTGTTTTTTAATATGACACTACTATAAGGTACATCGTAAAATAGTGTTAGAAATATATTTTTCTCTTTTGATTGGCCAATCTGACACTTTGAAAGTCACTAGTTTAGTTAAAAATAAATGGATACGTTTCCAACAACTGCTTCAAATATTTAATATAAGCAGATGTTCTGTCTTAAAATAAAGAAAATTCTGGAGAACCCTGTGTATCCTCTTTAGAAGACCTTTAAGCAACAAGAGAGAGTCTTCAATCAGAGGCCTCTCCAAATCCACTACAGGAGATCCTTCCTTCCCATAGCTATCAGCATCTACAACGACACTCAGAAGATTTAAATTCCCCTTTAGGATTAAAGAAGAATTTTTAAAAACTAAATTAACATATGCCATTCCAGA